TGTTAAAATGTTTCAAACTGCAGGCTCAGAGGCCTGCAAGGCAGGCGGGAACGTTGGTTTCCTCCATCACCGAAGCAAGCTTCAAGCTGCCTGGCTGCCAGCCGCCATCTTGGCTGGCAGTTAATTTGCATATCTCTCTGATTAGCCAATGGGAAGGGTAGTGGTCCTACGCTAATTATCATGTTTCTCTTTTATTAGATAGGGTACTTCCTAAACAGTTCATGGATTAGCCAGTGACCGATAGCCAGCAGAGTTACCCAAACTCCATTGGCGCTCAGTTAAGGAATGACTTGTCGAAGCCAAGGCAGATAGAGAACAGCTGGGCTTCTACGTGACCATGTTCATGCTACTGAAGCCCAAAGTCACCAAGAATCACTAACCTTCTGGGAATTGCTCATCATATTAGATTCTACATGTGAAACATCTCCAAAAATAAGTTTTAACTATATATGTAATATTATTTTTAAAATAATCACGCTCATTCACAGACAATTTTCTTGAGCCTCTTCTATGTGTCAGACATTTAGAGGTATAGATGCAAAGTATTCCAGTCCTATCCTTGAGCTCAAAGTCTAGAGTGGAGATAAAAAATAGGTTAATTATTAAGCGTCATAATAGAGAGATATGAACAAGTGGTGTGGGCTCTTGACAAGTATAGCAGGTAAGGCTAAAGAAATGGTGAAGTCGCTCAGCTGGTGTGGTCAGTGGTTGAGTGTTGACTCATGAACCAAGAGGTCATTGGTTCGATTCCCAGTCAGGGCACATGCCCAGGTTGTGGCCTCAATTCCCGGTGCGGGGTGTGCAGGAGGCATCCAAATGATGTTTCTCTCTATCCCTCTCCCTTCCTCTCAAAAAATCAGTAAAAACATCTCTATATGTAAAAGCCTAAGCGGTTGTTTCTACCTGTTGACCAGTCGCTATGGCATGCACTGACCACCAGGGGGCAGACACTCAATGCAGGAGCTTCCCCCTGGTGGTCAGTGTGCTCCCGCAGCACCACTCAGCCACAAGCCGGGCTCACGGCTGGTGAGTGCAGCTGCGGCAGCGGGAGCCTCTCTCGACTCCTTGGCAGTGCTCCCAAGTGGTGGTGGCAGGCTCAGCGAGCGGCATGGCGCCCAGGTTGGGCTCCTCTCTGGCTGCCTGCCGCTTGGTGCACTGCTACATCCCCCAAGGGGTCCTGAATTGCAGGAGGGCACAGGCTAGACTGAGGGACCCCCCCTCCCCTTTGCATGAATCCATGCACTGGGCCTCTAGTATTTTGAAAGAAAGAAATGGTGAAGTTGCTACCTAGGGATTACTGGGTTTTGAAGGATGAGTTTATCAGGCTATAAGGGAGGTTCCAGTCAGAGCAAAGGCTTGTGGTCATAAGAGGGGTTGCACCATGAGGGTGTGATGTAGCATACAGTATGGAGGAAGTATAGGGCTAAAGGGAATTCGTTGAAAAATAGGTCCAGAGATTGGATTGGGCAGCGCTGAGAGGGCCTTGTTTGGCCACAGTAGGAACCTTAAACTATAAGCAGTAGGAAATGGTTAAAGACTTTTAGGCAGAAAAGCAGTGGAATCAGCTTTGTTTTTTAGTAAGTGAGCTCTGGTAATTCTGAACGATAGGGAAGAGATGGTGCTAGGGAGATAGTGCAGGAGCTTCTGTGACGGAGCTCCTAGTGAGAAATGAAGAGGATGCGGACTGAAGCAGTGGACTGAAGTTTCTAGATGGTGTTGGTAGGCTTGGGTATGCCTTGCATATATGTGGGGGGGTGGGTGCGAGGAAAGAAGAAATCAAGGATGACTTGCATTGTAGCTTGGGAGTTAGTTGTGGGCTGATAACCAGAAATCAGAACTTTTGTGCATCAGTGATTGCCTTTCACTGAGGCTGCATGTGAAAGCTACACATGTATCTAGTGTTGCTGCTATCCCAGACATTTATGAAACTTTTTGGCATAACATCAGATTAAGTGTAGAGATCATATAAGAGAAACTCATTCTATTATAGTCACATCTTATTTTGGGAAAACAATAGCTTTATTCAATTTGATCATATGGACTTGGCTTTGAATAATTTGTGGGGCTTTTTTTTTCCAAAAATTCAAATTCATTTTCAGCAGACAAATATTTTTATCACCACTGAGGGTTTTAAATAGAATGTGATGCAAACTCTAAAGACCTTGGGGAGACCAATGAGATAGTAGTATCTTCCATATATGTGGTACATTACGGTTTAGAGAATGCTTTCCCGTATATTTTCTCATAGAACTCTCTCAGCACCAGTAAGGCAAGTAATATCAATAGCATTTTATAAATGAAGAAACAAGCTCAGTGCCGCACTGAAGCTACACAGCTTACAGGCCTAGAACTCCATCTGGCTCTTTACTTTGTCTGATGTTCTTTCTACATTGCTGTTGTTGCCCAACCCAGAGAAGTTGCAAAAATGATTTGAGCGATGATCACATTTGGGGGTAATGCATTTAGAAGGGGACAACGCTAAATAGAGACGATAAGCCCTAGGCTTGTTAATTAAACAATAAAAGAAAGGACTACTATTACTTTCTAGCTATCACATGTGAAGTACTATTTCTGGGTGGGAAAAGATCTTTTCAGAATTTCTGGTTTCACATGAAAGGCAAGGATGATAAATACTTTTGTCACATATCAGATAAAGTTACGGCGTTTGTGCAGCCGGTTTCTGTTGGAGCCTGTGGAAAGTTGACTTTGGTATTTGTCTGGGAAACAATAGCACTAGACAGAGAGAGGCTGTAGATTCCAGCCCACATCTGCAAGTGCTTGCTGGGGGGCCGGGGGACTGGACTCGCCTGGTATGAGGAATGCGAGCCCTGCAGCTTCAGAGTCACAATTACTTCAATTGAAAGAGATTTGTTCCCACTTCTTTCTTTCTGGGAGCCTTGGATACACAATGTCCGTATTCACCTTTTGCCTCCCAAGCTGGAAAGAGGGAAGAGCTGAAGGAAGTGTTGGTTGGATTATTTGTCCTTCATGTTAGGGGTCCTTCTCGTTTCCTAGTGTAAGAATGAGGTTCTTGAAATGTTGATACATCTCCTCTCAGTAAAGGGCGGATGATCGTGAGCTTGTTTAGACCACGGGGTCTTGATAAATCCATATCCCTTTGGTGCCTTGACATAGTGGAGACACAGTGAACCTCTGCAGAGTCAGTGTATTTACATTTTAGTCCCAGAGCTTCATTCTGATAAACTTTCTCAAGAGCTTTTGGAAAGATTTGATACAAGGTGAGTGAAAGGTGTAGTCATCATACTGTGTAAACCCTGGGTCAGTTCCTCTTCAGGTAGCATGTCTGGGCACATTTTAGTCTCAGACTTGAAATGTAGCAGCTTTTTTAGTAGAAAACTTGTGTGTCCTCTTCAAGTACCTGCCCTGCAGGTAGTAGAGAAGGCTTTGTGTTCCCATATTTTTGCAGCGTCATAGGAGACTTTTGACTTGGAGTTCATCCAGGTTGTCAGGAACTTGATGTGCTTCCTAATGAGAACTTAGTATTTAGGGTCCTCCCTGCACAGACCCCTGTCTCCACCTCTTAACCCTCTTCTTGCAGAGGGGTCCCTGGTAGCTCAGCTGTGTGCTGGGAGTTGCCAGGGGCTTACCCTGGTCTTTTTTGTTTTGTTTTTAATTTTAAAAAAAACTCATGTCTTAACTATCACCTCCTTTAAGACCTAACTTAAAAAATCACTTTTTTAATACACTGGTCATTTTCTACTTTGTGTTGTGTTTAGCCAAAACTTTATTTTGCACTTGTAAGCAAGATTTGTGAACATAATCTCAAGGACACTGATACTGTCATTGCTTCCATGTTCTGATTAAGTTTCCCCTCAACCCCGAAGTCTATACAGCGCGGAAGCAGAGAAGGCTCTGGGCGGGGCCTGCCCGGGCATTGACTCTGGCTCTCTTGTCTTGCAGACCTGTTGGCCGTTACTGCCTCCATGGCCACCTCAGTCCTCGGCTCTGTATCAGAAAGTAAGTTTCTAAATTTGTGGATATTACTATTTTTAAAAAATATATTTTTATTGATTTCAGAGAAGAAGGGAGAGTGAAAGAGATAGAAACATCAGTGATGAGAAAGAACCATTGGTCGACTTGCCTCCTGCACGCCTCCCACTGGGGGTTGGGCCCCCAAGCCGGGCATGTGCCCCTGACTGGGATCAAACCCGGGACCCTCAGCCCACAGGTCGACACTCCACCCATCGAGCCAGACCAGCCAGGGCTGTGGATATAGTATTAATTTTTCTACCTCAGGGAAAAGCAATAGATTTTTGGCTTAGATTTTGGGGATACGTATGAAAGCAAGACGTTGTACGTGGTTGGCTGAAAATACAGTGATTGACATCACTATTTTTCTCATCTTGTAGTGGAAGGAAAGAAAGAAATATTTCTTTGGATTGTGGCTGAGGTGGCTTCGTTGGTTGGAGTGTTATCCTGTACACCAAAAGGTGGTGGGTTTGATTTCCATCAGGGCACATGCCCAGATTGTGGGTTCAGTCCCAGGTTGGGGCGCATGCAGGAGGCAACCGATCAATGGTTCTCTCATTCCCTCCCTTCCTCTCTGTAAAATCAAATTTTTTTAAAAGAGTATTTCTTTGGTCTTTTAAAAATTTTCCTCACTTTCAGCTTTTCTGTTGTATTTAACTCCATTGTTTTAATCCAATTCTTAATTCCTTCCTTGATAACTAATTACTTTCTGATTAGTCTTTCTTTAATGCTTTTTTTTCCTTGTAAACTTTAATTTAGGGCAGGAATTAATTTTTATATTTTTCTCTGCTATATTCATTTCTAGTCTATTGACTTCAACAGTTGCCTCTGTGTTATTTTTTTTTTAAACTTTTAATTTTGGAAATGTACATTCAGAAAAGTTTGAAGACTAATACAGTGAAGGTCTGTATACCGCATATTTTAGGTTGTGCCATGTGAAATTGGTATTTCCGTAGGTCTAACCTGGTCTAATATTGGTAATTTAATGTGGTTCATTATATATTTAATTTTAGTTATCATTTTCTCTGAGTTCTTTGCAATTGAGTTGCAGGGATTGTGACGCTTGTAACTACTCATAAGAATAAGAACATGATCTTATATAACACGGTATAATTATACAAGTGCAATTATCAGTTCAGGAAATTAACACTGATGTACGTTTATTCACTCTACAGTCCATTTTCAGATTTTCTATTTGTTCCAAATACTGCACTTTATAGAAATTTAGTTCGCCTGTTCCCATCCAGGATCTCACACATTGTATTAGGTTGTCATGTTTCTTTAATGTCTTTAATCTGGGACTGTTTCTTAGCCTCCGTTGTCTTTTTGACATCCACAATTTTAAGCATAAGGGCCAGTTGCTTTGAGGAGTGTCTGCCAGGTTGGGCTTGTTCCCCATCCCTGGCAGGAGGACTATGTGAGTGATGTGTGCAGCCTCCGTGAATTGGAAGAGGGGCACATGAGCCCATTTGTTTTATAATCAGTGATTTGATCATTTGAATAAGGAAATGTCTGCTAGGCTTTTTTCCAATCTGCAGGTACTGTTTTTTTCTTTTGTAATTAATACTTAATCTCTAGGAAGATACTTCTCTGAGGGGGATGGAGTCATGCTAAGTGTAGGCACATAATCAGTTACGTTGTTGACATAGCTGTTTAACAGTTAGTTTCAGCCCAGTGACAAGGGAAACCAAGAAACTGTTAGAGGCACTGAGCTGAACGCAGCTCTTGATTTTTGTGAACCTGATAGGGAACCTTGAGCCAGTTGAGCAGGTGAGAATGTGTGAGGCAGCACGTGTGGCCTGGAAAAAGGGCAATCCATTTATGTAAATGGTTTTGAAATATTATGTTTGCCCTGATGCCCAAACACAAAGCAGTGGACCTTCTGTTGGTGGACCTGGGCGTGGGGGCATGAGAAGAAGCTTATCCTCTGATATATCCTCATTGGGTGGTTGAGGGTATTAATAACTGAGTCAAACTTGGCATAAAGATAAGGTGAGTGGTTGAACATGTTTTCCTTATACAGTGTTTCATCCAGCCCAGCTTACCTTTTTTGACTTTTAACTTTTTGTTATATAAAAAAATTTAAACCAACTTTACTTTTTTGTTTTTTTAAACCAACTTTACTTTTAATCATTTAAAAACCTTCTGGTTTGCCCTAGCCGGCTTGGCTCAGTGGGTAGAGCATTGGCCTGCGGACTGAAGGGTCCCAGGTTCGATTCCGGCCAAGGGCACATGACTGGGTTGTGGGCTCCATCCCCAGTGTGGGGTGTGCAGGAGGCAGCCAATCAACGATTCTCTCTCGTCATTGATGTTTCTGTCTCTCTCCTTCTCCCTTCCTCTCTGAAATTAATAAAGAAATATATTTAAAAACCTTCTGGTTTCATTTTAGTGCTGTTCCTTTGGGAACCTCAGCCAAGGAAGAGATGGAGAGATTCTGGAGTAAGAATGCTGGTTCAAACCGCCCTCTATCTCCTCATATCACTATCTACAGGTAAGGGCTCTGGGACCAGGGAACCTAGCAGGTGGGGGCAAAAGTGCTGGACTGGCCCATGGTCTCCCTGGTTATTTCCCTCAGGCCTTTTATAAAAAGACTAGAGGCCGGGTGCACAAAATTCATGCATGGGTAGGGACCCTAGGCCTGGCCTGCGATAGGGGCTGAGTGGGGCCTTCCAGCTGCTGGCCAGGGCCTTCCTTCGTTCCGCACCACCCCCTGGTGATTAGTGCTTGTCATAGTAAGCGATCATCGAACTCTGGGTTGAGCTCTCAAGGAGACACTTTGCATATTAGCCTTTTATATATGTAGATGGCTAAAGTCTATCTTTTGGGCTTATAAGGGTAATCTATCCTACAGAGCTTCCATTTGGAAAATCCTGGTAAGTCAAAATGTTATCCATCAAAAAAAACCCACAAACTATTTTGAAGCAATTTCAAATTTGCCTAAATGTTGCAGAAATAGTACACAGAGTTCAAGTATACCTTAAATGGGATTCACAAGGTGTCAATATTTCTGAGGGCTTTAAAGCAACCCTGGTTGGTGTGGCTCAGTGGTTGAGTATTGTCCCGTGCACCAAGAGGTTGCTGGTTCAGTCTCAGTCAGGGCACATGCCTGTTTGCAGGTTTGATCCCCAGTAGGGGGTGTGCAGGAGGCAGCTGATCAATGATTCTCTCTCATCATTGATGTTTCTCTCTCTCTCCCTTCCTCTCTGAAATTAATAAAAATATATTTTAAAAAAACATTAAAAATGTGTTACTTAAAAAAAAATGAACAAGTGCAGAGAGGATGATGCAGTTTCTATTACATCTGTAACAAGTTCGCACAATTGTGGCTTACAGCAAACATTTATTATCCAGCGGTTCTGAGGTCAGAGTCTGACAGCCTCTCCCTGGGCTAAAGTCAAGGTGTGGGCAGTGCTGGTCCCTTCTGGAGGTTCCAGGGCAGAATCACTTCCTGGTCTTTTCCAGCTTCTAGAAGCTGCTCTGAATTCCTTGGCTTGTGGCCCCTTCCTCCATCTTCCTAACCAGCAGTGATGGATCAAGTTTGTCTTCCATCAGCACTTTGACCTGCTTCGATTTCACATTCTTCCGTGACTGTCCTCTTCTGCCACCCTTGCAATTACATTGGGCCCATCCAGATCATCCAGGGCGGCCTCCTTACCTGAAGGTGAGCTTGGTCTACAGTCCTACAATACTAGGGAGGTGTTTGATTCCCAGTCAGAACATACGCCTGATTTGGGGCTCAAACCCTAGAAGGGGACGTGCAGGAGGCAGCCGATCAATGATTCTCTCTCATCATTGATGTTTCTATCTCTATCCCTCTCCTTCCTCTCTCTCTAAAAATCAGTAAAATCATTGTAAAAAAAAGAAAGTTAACATTGATCCAGTCAGCATCCGATCACCAGGTTCCACACGTATTTTGCTGGTTGTCCCAGTAATGTCCTATATGTAGGTCCACGACCCCACCGGGCTGTGTATTGCTCAGTGGTCTTTTTAACCTCCCTCATGATGGAACAGTTTTTAGTTTTCCTTATCTTTTACGACCTTGACATTTTTAGAATGTTGCTTATTTTAAGTTTGTCTGACGCATTCTTGTGATTTACACATTATGGGCAGGACTACCTCTGAGAGAGGATGTGCTCTTAGTCTATGTTTCTGGGGAGGCACCTGGTGGTTTAGCCCATTACTGCTGATGCAGACTTGCATCATAGATTAATATGTGTCTGCTAGGTTTGTGTTATTAATACTGAGTTTGTGGGGAGATACCCTGAGGCTATAAATACTCTATTTCTCTCCAGACTTTTACCCACCTGAATCGTTATTACTATGATGGTTGCCAAGCAGTGTTTTTTCTAATTCCATCATACCTTCTTGATTTATTTATTACTAGGGTGAGGCTTGCTTTCTTCATTAGTACAGACTCAAGGATTCGTAAAAGGAAAAACTCATTCATAGCTCCTCCACTTTTGTGAAACCAACTAAAAGAAAACACCACAGTTTCTTCTCAATAGTTCTGATTGCAGAAATTGGGTTTCCCCCCACTCCAACGAGTTTTCCAATTCTTGGCACCAATTGGACCTTCTGTGATCTGAACACTACCTACCTGACAGTATGACACTAACTGTCTGAAGTTAGCGAAGGCCCCACAGGTTAGGGCTCAGTCCCACATGACTGGCCCACTTCACATAGGTTGAGACCTGTATTCTACTGGCCAGGATCAGTCGGCTTCCCAGGATCCCTGCCTTGGGTTCAGTGATTTGGGCTCACAGAACTTGGAAACGTCTACTTACATGAACTCATTTATTATAAAGGATATTACAAATGATATCGGTTCCTGTGTGTATATAGTTCCTGACCTGAAGATATATTTAAACCTAAAAACTCTCTAGCCCTAGCCGGTTTGGCTCAGTGGGTAGAGCGTTGGCCTGCAGACCTAAAGGTCCCAGGTTCGATTTTGGTCAAAGGCATGTATCTCAGTTGCAGGCTCAATCCCCAGCCCCAGGTCGGGGCACTTGCGGGAGGCAACCAATTGATGTGTCTCTCTCACATCGATGTTCCTTTCTCTCTCTTCCTCCCTTCCATTCTCTCTAAAAGTCAATGGAAATATATCCTTGGGTGAGGATTAACTACAACAGCAAAAAACACACAACCCTTCTCCCCGGAGGCTTCATCGTATGGGCATGATCATTTAGTAATGCAACCTCAAGCCCCTCCCCTTCCTGGGAGAAGGTGGGGTGGGGCTGAAAGTTCCAAGCTTCTAATCATGGTTTGCTCTTTCTGGTGATCAGCCCACATCCAGAGTCACTTCATTAGAACAAAGGATGCTCTTATCACCCAGGAAATTCCAATGGATTTAGGGACTGTGGGTCAGGAGCCAAGGTCAAAGACCAAATGTTAGGACAAAAGATGCTCCTGGCGCCCTGCTCCTCGGGAGATGGTAAGGTTTTAGGCGCTCTGTTTCTAGAACCAGAGCGGAGAGGAGAGGTAGAGGTAGGTAGATGCCCATAGGGTTACACTGTTGCGCTCATCTCTTTTGATGTTCAGGTTGTTCCAGACTTGGCCAGTGGGCGTTCTTCAGGGTGGTCCTGTGAAATCATGACCTGGTGCTAGATGTGCTCATTGCTACCAGCTGTCCTTGCTTCTAGACCCTGTCAGTAGATAGAGCTAGGGCACGTGTGTGCACACACAGCATGCACATACATGTGTGTCTGTTATCCGTGTCCTCAGAAGTAGCACTGATGGCTGTAATGCCAGTGTCTTCCCGAAGATCTCCTTTCTGGCTAACCCAGTGCAGTGTCCTGAGTGCTGCTGCCCCCTTTCCTTGTGTTCTTGCCAGGGAGCCTGGCCATTCTTCAGCCACCTCCACACATACCACAGCCCTTCAGACTTTCCCAAGCCGGATTCCAGAAATAGTTCTGATTGCAGAAATTGGACGAATGTCCAATATTAAAACAGAAGGATACTGATAAGTGATCTCAATCCTTACTACTTTATGGTGAAACTTTTTTTTAAGACATAAAAGTTTTGGGGGAGGATTATAATGATAAAGAACTCTTCAAATTATTCTGAATCTATATTTAAAGCCCTGGCCTTTCTTCATGGGTCATACAACAAATGTAGTGGGCTGGTGAAGTGAGTCTTGTCCGTTTGTCCTGTTTTGAAATTCTAGACACACTTGTGGCAAAAAGAAATAGCAGTGAACAGGGGGTTGTCTCCAAGGTGACATGTCTGGGAAAGACGCCCAAGATGTCTGGAATCATAGTTCCTATTTCTAAGTTCTGGAGTTTTTTTTGGAGAAGGCATTGAAGTAAATGGTTGAGTTAGCAGTTTCTGAAGCACTCTTTAGTTCAATATATTGAGTCAGTTTATCAAAGCAAAAGTGTATATAGGGCCGAAACCGGTTTGGCTCAGTGGATAGAGTGTCAGCCTGCGGACTGAAAGGTCCCAGGTTCGATTCCGGTCAAGGACATGTACCTGGGTTGTGGGCACATCCCCAGTGGGAGATGTGCAGGAGGCAGCTGATCGATGTTTCTCTCTCATCGATGTTTCTGACTCTCTATCTCTCTCCCTTTCTCTCTGTAAAAAATCAATAAAATATATTTTAAAAAAGTGTATATAGGGATTAAGCTATCAAGAGTGTTAACGTAAAAAAACCATTGAAACCTGTAAAGAATTTTTGTGAGTTTATTTGAGCCAAACTGTCGACATATTCCGGGAAGCAGAACTTCAACGAATTGAGATAATGCTCTGGAGAATGGCGGGTTACATCTGTGTTAACACATTGCAGTCAAAGGAGGGACATAGGTGGGTTACATGAAATTCATTGGTGATAGATTAAGGAGGAGGGACAAAGCAAAGTGGGGAAACCCCTGGGATTGGATAAAAAGTAAAATGATGGACACATACTTAGGTGGGTGCAGGAGCAATTAACATGATGATGAAGGAATTTGTGGTATCTGTCCTGGGCCCAGAACATTTGGTTGTGCCCCAGGGCCTCCAGATACAGGGAAGTCACAAGTTACCCAGGCATTTCAAGGGTATGTTATCATTGATGCAAAAAGACAATAGGCTCAGTAAAGGTAAAGGTTGACCTTGTCAGTGAAGATACTGGTGTAGGACGTAACTGCCCACCATCACTGCTTTTCGTTAAGGTTTAGTTTCAGACCATCCTTTGTGGTGACTTTAGGTCTCCGAGTTTGCAAGACCACCATGCAGGCCTCCCCTGAGCTTGTCAGGTCAGCATGTGGCCTCTTTCGTCCACAAGAGAAAATGAGTTCTTCAAAAGGATGTTAGAAAAAAATTTTAGCCCGGCAGGTATGGCTCAGTTGGGTATCTTCCCATGCACCAAGAGGTCACCGGTTGATTCCCGGTCAGGGCACATGCCCAGGTTGCGTGCAGGAGGCAATCAATTTCTGTTTCTTTCTCCCTCTCCCTCTCTCACTAAGCATTAATGAAAACATAACGTTGTATGTCAACTGTAATTGAAAATAAAATTTAAAAAAACAGGAGTTCAAGGATGGTTGTATATTATATGAAACAGTGGATAAATAAATCTCACTTTGGGTTTTCTCCTACTTCAGTTTTATGCCTGGAGAAACGGAAGGCACCGGGGTTGTATTCTAGTGACTATTTCCTAACTGTGCGGGTTTATTGGTGTCTTTGACCATGTTGCTTCTCTTCATGAAAGGAGGTGCTTGCGTTGCCATTCATGCCTCTTTTCAGCTCCGTCAGTGGTACAGTCTGGTCAGAGGGAAGGCTGCTGCTTAAAGAGATCAGTGCTCTTATTTAAAAACGAGAATGTGGACACACAGGAATGTGAAAGCTGGTTGTTTCTGTTTAAATACTGCCTGGTTCCACAGTGGTTTCTATTCTCTTGGTAAGAGTGGACTCTAGTGTGGTGTCATCTTCTCCTTTTTTTTTTTTTGTTAATCCTCCCCAGAGGATATCCTATTGGCTTTTTTTTAATAGAGAGTAGAAGGGAGGGGTAGAGACAGAGAGAGAAAGAAACATTGATGTGAGACATATCAATGGTTGCCTGCGACATGCACCCTACTGGGGCCGGGATAGAGCCTGCAACCAAGGTACGTACACTTGACCAGAATCTAACCCACTACCCTTCAGTCCATGGGCTGATGCTCTAACCACTGAGAAAACTGGCTAGGGCTCATCTTTTTTTTTTAATTTTTTTTTTTTTTTTACAGAGAGGAATGGAGAGAGAGAGAATTAGAAACATCGCCCTGACTGGTTTGGCTCAGTGGATAGAGCGTCAGCCTGGGGACTGAAGGGTCCCGGGTTCGATTCCAATCAAGGCATGTACCCTAGTTGCGGGCACG